CAGATGTAACAGGCATAGGTACACATATGTATGATAAGGTAGATCCAGGGTCAATTAATGCAGATACAGTGATATCAAATAAAGTGAACATACCCATGATGACATCATTAGCATGTGGATCTGTACGCCCTTGCATGGCATACGTACGAGCTGGTGCTCGTCCCTGCTGTTGACTAGTTGCTGGCTTCTTTGGTTGGTTGGACGCGGTCGTAGAACGATGACTCTGGGTAGGCATGGCCCGCCGAACAGTAGAAACACCCGGCGTGCTTGGTGCTGTGGAGAAAACCTTTCCTGGGTTCGTCGGGCAGTCCTCCCGAAAGTGTCCTGCCTGACCACACCCGAGGCAAAGACCCTGTGTAAGCCAACACTCACCAGCATGTCTGCGGTTACAGTGGGGACATACTGGATTACGGTATGTCATCTTCTCTTGCCCGTTCTTACTAGTGACGGCCACAGATGTAGAGGGAGTTGATTTCGCTCGCTTATCATGGCGAGAGTTGCTCGGTGTGGAGAAGGTCCTCTTGCTACCATGCCCCATCTTCGGGCCAGAATGGACGGCCTGACTTTCTGCCAGTAGTGCCTGTTCATACGCAGCTTTCCTGATGAGTTCCTCGTTCAACTCAAGAGCTTTCTTATAGACATCGTTGATGTCGGCTCGGGGAGCAATTATGAGTGTTGACGACAGGTCTGGCCTCATACCCTTGATGAACTTCTTCCAGCGCTTCTCCATGGTGTTGACCAAGTCTTTACCAAACTCGGCCAATCCGTCAAATTGCTGACGGTACTCGGGGAGAGTCAGCTTCCCCTGAGTGAAATTTGAGAATTCCTCATATTTGGCCTCGACGTAGCGATCGGGCACATATTCTGCTCTGAAAAGTGGCTCGAAGGTATCCCATGGTACCGGCACGGGAATGTTGGCGCCTACTCGCTTCCACCAATCATAGGCGGCATCTTGCAATAGGGATATGGCATGTTGTCCCCAATCCTCGACAGGTACCTTCAAATTCTCCAGTACCCTCACCGTGCGTTCTTGCCAACGCTTGGCTATCTGAGGGTCCGCTATCTGGTCGCCACAGAATTCCTGCGCTCCATTCCTCTTGAGTTTTTCAATCGAGACAATGGGTGCAGGAGGTGGTGGTGGTGGAGGTACATGCGCTCCAGCCATCTGCTGGAAGAACTGGAACATGTTCGCAACCATTTGTGGTTGGAACATCGGAACTGCAATATTCGGGTTCTGACCCGCGAACTGCTCCGGAACTGGCTGAGGTTCCGGCTGAGGCTGATGTTGCTGGGGCACGTAACTGGATGCTTCAGTGTGCACCGTATGCACACTAACGTGCTCCGGCTCCGCGTGAGGGTTTGCCTGACCGTGAGTCGAGTCCTGACTCATTCTATAATTAATTTAAAATGTAATTAGTCATAAGTAAACTAATTGTTTTTACCTTCCCCGGCAGAGATGTGGAGAGATGCGGACTTGTGTTTGTAACTCTTTTGATTTGATTTCCAAAACCATTGTTTTTTTTTATCGAATGCTCTGATACCAAAATGTAACACCCGAACTCGAATAACCCAATTACATAGATTATTTGAGCCGAAGTAGTTACCATGATGGTAAATACGCATAATAATTTGAGGAATAATTTAAAACCAATTTAAACTTTAATATAAATGATAATTTCAAATATTAAATTCAGAGTATCGCTGAAACAATGCGGAAGCTTAAATATAAAACATAATCAAATTGTTTTACATTTTTCTGGGTTCTCGCCCGAAAAGGTATTTATTTAATTAAAACATCATAAATGTGGTCCACCAGTCCGTACATCTCGTCACTCTCATTGACCTCCGGGATGGGCTCCATGATCAGTATTGTTACCTGCGTGTAGCAAGTAAAACAAACTACATGCTCAGCGTTAGCTGAGCAATACGCTAATACAACAATTCCAAGTTGAATAGCAAGTAGACATATAATTATCATGATATGACATAATATAGCATGTATGCTCAAATGATGATTGTGATACGTAATAAATGTCATACATAGTCATAATGATTGCATTTGCTTGATGATGAATTCATGCTGTATGATTCTAGGTCACAAGGACAAGCCTTGAACTATGAGATTCGCCCATTTTGTAAGACGAACTCACGCAGAAATAGGGGTGGTACTCGAAAGCCTAAGTACCATGTACGTACACTAAGCCCGGTCNGCGTTTTTCACTCAGGATTTTAGAAAACTTTGATATTTCTTCTTGCTCCTTCTTCTTCCCTTGGCTCAACAATGGAGTTGAGAATTCTTCCTCCTGAGTTTCTGCCGAGAGAGGGAGAGGATGGTGATGGGATGAATGATGGATGGATGATGGTGGTAATGTGTGAGGATGATGGTGGTGGTGGTAGGGTAATAATATAGGGAAGAGTAATTGGAGGGATGTGGTGGTGGGGTCCTAATGTGGTTTGATTGAGGATTGGAAGAGATGGGGGGAGTGTCTCTACGTGATTTGGAGGGTTTGGGGAATCAAATATATTCTCCTACTCCGTAACTGATAAACTGGCTAAAACGGTACGCGCTTTTTCGCCCAAACTGTTCCGTTTTGAAAACGGGTCGCGTTTTTGGAGTCAGATTGTCAAAACTAGAATTTTGATATAATTAAAATATTTTTCTGGAAACTTTTATTTTTCAGTGTTCGGGTCTGCCTCAGTCATTAACTAATTTTTAAATTAATTAATTCTTTTAGGCCTAATTTCGGGGCGTTACAATGGTTCATACCCAATTCCATCTCAAAGTTCAGACCATTAGGTCTGACAATGCCGTAGAGTTAGGAAAGGGCAGAACTATGTCTCAATTCTTTCTCTCTAAAGGTATACTCCATCAAACCAGTGTTCGGGATACACCCCAACAAAATGGAATTGTTGAAAGAAAGGATAAACATCTTCTTGAAACCTCAAGAGCCCTTTCTTTTCAATCCCACACACCTTCAAAGTTTTGGGGTGAGTGTGTCCTCACCGCTACTTACCTCATTAATCAATTTCCCACCAAAGTTCTTCAAGGAAAAAGTCCTTATGAGATTCTTTTTGGCAAGGCACCAGATTATGATCATTTAAGTGTCTACGGTTGCCTATGCTTTACCTCAACTCTCAAACAGGGAAGACACAAATTTGATGAGAGGGCTTCAGCTTGCATTTTCCTAGGTTACCCCTTTGGTCAAAAAGACTATAAAGTTTACAATCTCACCACCCATAAGGTTGAGACTTCCAGAGATGTGATATTCCATGAGTCTGTTTTTCCATACCAACATAAAACACTTCCAACACCACCTTTCCCTTCTCACTCTGATCCTACCCATCCTCTGGAAGAATTCACCTCAAACCCTACTGCTCCTACTCATCCTACCTTTCCTTCTAATTCACCATATTTTCATTCCAATCCTCCAGATTCCTCTATTCTTCTCTCTGAATTTTCCTCATCTGATTCCTCTTCCATACCCGCATTTCCTCCTTCAACTTCATCAAACCCTATCAGACCTCAACCTACTGATGAGGCATCTCTGCGCAGATCCAGTAGGACCCACACCATTCCTTCCCACTTCCAAGATTATGTCTGTCATTCTTCTTTCCCAGACTCCTCTTCTGTTGCCTCCTTTTCTCATACCTGTCATCATTCCCTCACCTCCATCTCTCCTTCCACACACATTTGCCTAGGTTCACTAACCAAGGATAGTCAACAATTTTTGCCCATTGTCTCACATATGCAAGAAACCAAAGAATTTTGCAGAGGCTAAGGGTGATCCAGCTTGGGAACAAGCCATGCAGTTAGAATTTCAAGCTTTGGAGGATACTAGAACCTGGGAAGTTTGTGATTTTCCCAAAGGAAAGAAACCCATCAGTAGCAAATGGGTTTACAAACTCAAACTCAAGTGTGATGGTTCCCTAGAGAGGCATAAAGCTCGCTTAGTAATTAGGGGCTGCACTCAAAAAGAGGGCATCGACTACCATGAAACATTCTCCCCTGTGGTCAAGATGACAACTGTCAGGGCTCTTCTCACTGTTGCAGTGAAAAATCATTGGTCCATCTTCCCATTGGACATCAATAACGCTTTCCTACATGGTGACTTAAATATGGAGATCTATATGAAACCTCCTCCTGGGATGTGTATTTCTAATCCTAAGCAGGTTCTCAAACTACACAAATCTTTATATGGTCTCAAACAAGCCTCTAGACAATGGTATGCTAAACTGAGCACTGTACTTCGATCCCAAGGATATAAGTCTTCCAAAAATGATTATTCTCTCTTGAGTAAGCACACTGGTTCTCAGGTTGTCTACTTGGTAATCTATGTTGACGACATCCTCATCACAGGGAATGATCTCACTGAAATCACAGCCTTGAAAACACATCTCCATACTACTTTCAAGATCAAGGATTTGGGTCGTTTGGGGTATTTGCTTGGTTTGGAAGCCACTTATGCCAATGAAGGGTTAATCCTTACTCAACACAAATTTACTTTGGACCTACTAAAGGCTTTCAATTGTCCTCCATCTTAAGCCGTTTGCCCTTTGGAAGCAAACCTCCAACTCAAGGTCAATGATGGCACTCCACTTCCAGATCCTACTTTATATAGGTGTCTCATTGGAAAACTCAATTTTCTTACACATACACGACCAGATATAGCATATGCAGTACAATTCTTGAGCCAGTTCATGCAAGACCCGAGATTGCCACATTGGGAAGCTGCAGAACACACTCTCTGTTACCTCAATTCTGCACCCTCACAGGGTCTTCTCTTCAATGCTTCTTCTGATTTTGAGCTGAGAGCTTAATGCGACTCAGATTGGGTAGCATGCCCCAATACCAAGAGATCTTTCAGTGGATACTTCATCTTACTTAGTGGCAGCCCCATTTCTTGGAAGGAAAAGAAACAACCTACAATCTCTCTTAGTTCAGCCGAAGCTGAATACAGGTCCCTTTGAGCTGTTACCGCTGAACTAGCATGGCTCTCCAGGTTGTTTGCTGAGCTTCTTGTTTCTCAAGTCACACCTATCCCTGTTCGCTGTGACAGCAAAGCGGCCATCTACATTGCTACAAACCCTGTTTTTCACGAAAGAACAAAACACATTGAGCTAGACTGCCATTTTGTTCGTGACAAACTCCAAGAAGGGCTTATCACTCTACACCATATTCCCACTCAAGATCAAGTGGCAGATATCTTTACAAAAAGTCTCCCAGGATCCTTGCATCATAGGCATGTTCTCAAGTTGGGAGTTCTTTCACCCTCCAACTTGAGGGGGGGTGTTGGAAGTAATACTTAGCACTTTGTTTAGAGTGTTGATTAACCACAGTTTGTTATGGGTTTGTTACTGTACGGTTACGGTGGTTAGTTTTGTTACGGTAGTTAGCTGATTAGCTTCTTTATTTTTTCTTCTAGTATAAAAGTTGTATTCCCTTCACTGTATTAGCTGATTTGATTTTGCCTCACACTGAATAAAATTCTCGCTGTACTGTTCATCTTCTTGTTCTTTCTCGCGATCATCATCAAAATCAACAAAACCAGCGATGGTAATCTTGCCATAGCAATGACGGCACCTCCTACATCCAGTAGAGGACCACTCCACATCTCCAGCCTCCTCTTTCTGGCTAAGTGCGACAGCGGTAGGCTGGCGATGGGCATCAGTGTCCAAATTGTGGCGAAGACCAGCAACCTTGCTCCACCCGGCGAACGGCTCCAACAACAAAAATGAGAGCAGCGCCTAGTGAACCTGCAATCTAGCGGCAGCCTCTCCCCTTCCCTTCAAGCACAAGGGCATGGGCAGCTGATAACAAAGCAGCATAGGAGAACAAAGAATTAGCAAAGAGTGTAAAGTGGAGAGTAGAGGAGACGAAGAGGAGGGAGAAGAGAGTAGAAATCCAGCACAAGGGGCAGCATAATCGAACCAAGAGTCCTCCAAAATCTGCGAGAATTCTTGGCTATATAAACCCATCACAGAGTCCTCCAATTAACCGGGTGGGACAATGAAATCCGTCTGTATCATTAGACCCCCATAAGGCTCAATGTCCTCGTTGCGTCCACTCCACCACTCTGTACGCCACCACTCCGAGTTGGATCTGATACCATTGATACACCACTAAGAAGAGCCACACTTCAAAAACTAGCTATCGAGGTGGGAGAATCCTTGTCTATATAAATCCATCACCAGGTCTCTCATTTAACCGATGTGGGACTATGAAATCAGTCTGTATCATTGAGTGAACATTCAACACCCAAATCCCCCAAATGAATTTTGAGTTTCCCCGACACAACTAAATTTCGACAAACAAAGAATCACAATCACAAATTCAATCATCAATTGGGAGATAATATATTAACGAATCCTACTCTATGAATCAATCGTAACGAGAGATATTTGAAACCACAGCTCAACTCAATTGATCAACAAACTCAAACTCGAATCAAGAAGTCACCTTAGTCCGCGCGTAGAATAAACGAGAAAAACAATGGTGGATAAAATTTGACACCAAAGTCAAAATCAACTTGGGGGTGCAATTGAAGGGGGTGGGGGGTGTTCGGGTCGGGGCGGGGTGAGGGGTTCACCGGGGGGTTATGGGGGGTAGGAACCATCAATTTTACGAACGGGGCACCAGAATGCCCGTTGGGTCATCCCATGACATTGGTTCCCAGAGCACTATTCTTCCCAGAGCATGGGAACCAAAGTGTATTTAATACTTCCTCCGTCCTATAACTTTCTTCCCAGAGCACTATTCCAACTTCACGGGAATTTATATTTATTTGTGTTTTTTCATGGCCTATATGATAAAATAAAATATTTTTGTCACCACTTGTTTTGTTGAACTTTTGATGTAGTTTTTAAATATGTATTTTTTATTTTTTATTTTTTATTTCTATACCAATATTTAAATAAAATAGATTGAAAAAACTTGGGATTTTTCTTCGTTTTGCGCAAAGGGAAGAAAGTTTTAGGACGATGGAGTAATAAAAGACTAAATATGAATAATCAATTTATAATTATAGAATTCACTCTTAATATCATTAAATCACATAAGGGAACTTAATTGAAGTATTGAAAAACAAAGCCCGGTAGCATGATGTTTATAAAAATCTAAACATAGTCTATGATAGAACTTGTTGTCCATTGGAGAATAAAAGACCATGGTGAAAACGGTTTTCAACAAATCCAAAAATAATACGGAGTAAGTTTTAAAATACAAGAGTAAATTCTATAAAAGGTTTTCAGTTATATGTCGTTTTACATATTTAGTCCCTACATATTGAATACGGAGTATTACTAATTTAGTCCCCAATTATTATATCATTTTTCACGAATGGTCCTTTGTTAACATTTTTGTTAAGAACATGGATAAAATTATACTACCTCCGTCCCATTGTCTTTGTCCAGTTTTGACTTTTGGAATTGTTCATCTAAGCACTTTGACTCATCAAATTCTCTCAATGTGTAAGCCTAAAAATAGTCATGTGTGATCTTGTTTGATTCGTCTTAACATATAGATTATTAATATATAATTTTTATAATTTTTTAATATACAAATTACAAGATAAAATGGATTAAAGAAGTGAATTGGATGGTGTGCCAAAAGGTAAGTGGACAAAGACAGTGGGATGGAGGGAGTATATCCATACTTCTCTCTCTCCTCAATTAAGCTTTCTCCCTCTCGCACTCTTTCCCAAACTCGTCACTGAGTTTGAAGCTCTAAACCCAAAACTGAAATGATCATTCATCTCTCAATTATTAGTTTTTCTGGTGGAACCTAAACTCAAAACTAATGTGCTTTATGGATGAGTTTTATCGGTTGGTCTCAAGAAATTGTAAAGAAAATAAACATTAAAACTCATCCATGAAGGTTACTGGTTTCGAATTTAGGTTCCACCAGTTAGACAAACAATTGAGAGAAGAATGATGATTTCGGTTTTGGGTATAAAGCTTCAAACTTAGCGACAAGTTTGGGAAAGGAGTGCGAGTGGAGGGAGGAAGCTTAATTAAGGAGAGAAATGAGCGTAAATTTATAATTTTATCCACGTTCTTAACGGAAATATTAACAAAGGACCATTCGTGAAAATTAATATAATTATTAGAGACTAAATTAGTAATATTTGATATGTAGGGACTAAATATGTAAAACAATCTATAACCGGGGACCTTTTATGGAATTTACTCAAAATACATTGTACTTGGAAATTAGAAATACACATGTTTAGACCTTATAACATATTTTTTTTGAAATCCGAAGCCCAACCTTGCAACCCTGACCAGCCTGGAAATATAAAAAATGATATTGGCTCTGTACAAAATTTACTTGTTAGGCCTTATTACTTTTTTCCATAGTACTTGTGTTTTAAAACTACTCTTGAATTTGATTTCTAATAACCATTTTTATAACAATTTGAATATTAAAATGTAAATATCAAGTAATTAAAATAATGAACATTTAACAATATAAGACCCTAGAAGTTTGAGGGCTCTGCACAAGTGAACACCTTGCACCTCTCCGGGCCACCCTTGTTGCAGCCGTGGAATGCAACACCTCATTTGGAGGAATGACCGAAAAACTAAACCTAAACTAAACAAATACACAAAGTGACCAAACTCATTTTTACTCCCTCTTTCACTTCCTTACTACATATGATCGTCTTCTGCATTTAATCATGCCCGTATTGTTTTAAAGATGAGGATGTACAATCTACAAATTAAAACCCACTCTTCACCCACTAACAGGTCTTCGACCACTTCGGCCTGCGTAGCGGGACCCTGAGGGCCTTTCTCTTGATGATTTGATTAGTTTACCCGTGCTTTCCTCACGCCTGACAGCCTGTTTCTTCGTAGAATGTCTCTTATCTTTCTTGGGTTGGTCAGCTTCACACAACATAGGCCGAATTCCCTGTAAATCAGGTTCAGGAACATATCCATGTGGTCGTTTAGATTCATCCATTCTCCGGAATGTAATTGAGATCCTAAACCAATTTGAAGTCAATAAGGTGTTGTTGGCACAGTATGCAAACAAGTAAACTTGAAGTAAAGCTTTTGGCACGATGGCACCCCATGCAAAAGTGACAAGTGAATAAATTATTGATGACATGAGATCCTCCAACTATTTATTACCTTTTCGTAGGAACAGAAGGAACACAATGTTTAGCCACATCTGCAGCATTTCCATTAATGACAAGAACAGACCTGGAGAAACAACAAACTTCTAATTCCAGAAATATTAGAGAAAAACCTATCTGGATATAATGCAGATACACTTACCCCACCGGCAATGGAATTGCAATAGGACCCACAAACTGACCCGGACCGTCCACGTTCAAATTTAACCCAAAAACAATACTGCACTGGCTAAGGAATGAGACCGTACAAAAGGGGCGCACAAAATCATGATTGTCAATATGTGGTGGAATGCAATCTCCCACATCATATATGTTCACAATACAGCTGTCAGGAATGCAGGTTGGAGGCACCACATGCCATTTAACAAGCCTTCTGATCATGACCTTAAAAAGCTGAGGTATGGGATCAACAGTATCATCTCTGAGGATGCCTGGAGGATTGCCATTTTTATCCTGCAATGAAGTAATAAAATCATGGGATCATCTATATGTTAAGCTTCAGTGTTTTCAGGCAAGACTAGAAAGTAGAAACCACTCTCAGAACCCCAAGGCAAAAGAAGAATGCAAAATGAGAGAAGGCATGATTAATCACATTGACTATGATATTACCATCACATGAATCCAATTTGCAAATTGAGCCTTCCAAAAAGGAAAGGAAAAAGATTGCAGATGCAAGAAAGGCTTACAGTTGCATAGTTGTAACAACAACCAAATTGGATAGTAACACGCCCTTTGCCTTTCATCCACTTAGCGGGTGCAGTATAAGTACGTTCTGTTGAAACAGAATTTCACAAAAAAATAAGCATCGCGGGAGTAAAAATTGCCAATCTCCTCAATAAATTGATTAACACAGACTGAAAAAAAGAGAGACGTATTCTCAAAAAAAATTCTACCATTAAAGCGACAACACATTTCAAGACAAGTGGATATAGATGTGAAGGTAAAAAATTATCATTCTACAATGAAGAATCAAAATATTCAATCCAATCAAATTAAGAAATTATCTTCTTACAGTTCTTAAAGTAGGTATCATAAGTGCATTTCTGCTAAAGACTGACAATTTGTTGGAGTTACGGATGCACTATTTGGTCGGGACTACTCCCCTAAAAACCTCAGGATTGCTTATTAAGAATCCCCTCTTATACACGAATCTATTACTCAGAAGCAGAATTGTATTAGCAGGGCAGCGACCAACACACAAGGAGTGCAGCTCAAGGCTCAATGTTATTTGCTTAAAAGCCCCAGACTTAAGCCACGTCAAAGGATTGTCAGTCCAATCATATTATTGAGTAAATTAAAGGTGTTGAATATCTCGAAACAAGGATAGATCCTTCTCCGCATCGTGCACCTCTTTATTGTCAAGGAGCAGGTGCGGTCCTGCCATCAGGGACAAACTTCTTGCGCTGTCTGCCAAGGCAGTAATATTGGAGTCATCGAGGAATAGTCGAATAGATTGTTGCCACAGTGGTTAATCAGCCATCCGTTCTTCCAAATTGTCTAGGCACAGCATTGAAGTCTTCAACGGAAGTTGTCACAGTGTCGGCCATGGTTCCTTCATCATCCATCGTCTTGGATACTCTACGAAGTTATTAAGAGTGGGCATGAAAATCCCAGCCCAAGGCCTAAGGAAGACGATGAAGAGGGAAATAAGAGGTTGAGGAATAAGGACCTATATTTGAGGGAAGTAAATTCACTGACTCACTCTCTCACTCATGGCAAAGAAGGGAGTGCCCAGCAATGTTAAAGACACAAAGAATTAATTCTCCAAAAGGAAGTTTAACATTGCAAAGTAATGACCCTTGTACAGCTATTAGAAGAGTCCTAGTCAGACATGGAAAAAAAGATAAATGTTCAATAATCTTCCAGGGCCAATACAATAACAATAAAAAATATAGCACCGCAGGTTGTTTATCCAAAGCAGTTAATTACTTTGGACCATTGATTTTGGTTGGCAAACAAGATATGCGACAACCTACATCACAAAACAGATCTGCATCCATATTTTAAACACTTGGTCTACAAGCATCTTGGTTGATTGAATGTGTTGCTCCCAGATCAATTGAAACAATGACATAGAATTTTCATTAATGTGCCCTTAAAGCTCTAATCACTGACTCACTGGTATTTCGGCATAAGTCAAATTTCCAATAGTTGTGCACAGTTTATACAAACTGGAGTTAGCTAACATTTCAGTACAAGCACGCTGCTATAGTATGGAGACACATTTACAACACACAAAAGCTACATCCACAAGATGTTCATGAACTAAATAATGGTTTGGGCTATGCACAAGGGAAGGAATTTTGACTAGCTACCATATAGCATTCTAGAAACTAGAAAGATAGATTCTTTATTTTTATTTTTGTATTAGTTGAGGGAAAAAGCAAACACATTTTGTAGATACAGAGAACCATCCGAATGGGGAAAAAAATAGTAGCATCTAAATATAAGCAGAGCATAGGCAGCTACTATGTCCTTATCTAAAAACTAAAATCAGAGAAACATTTGACATGAATCTGACTCAGACGAATACGGAAAACAATAAAACATAAACACCCAAACCTTTTAGTCGTCCATTCTTTCCCTTCTCTTGAAGTGCTTCAACATAATTAACTATCCTTATTTGCTCAGCAGCACTAAAAACACCAGTATGTAATTCCAAACCATCAAGTGTATTAATGATTTTCCCATTGACCCTTTCCAAACATAGAAAATTCTTTTTCCTTTTAACATTACAAAAACGGATCTGCTCCCTGAGCTCCCTTGAGAGCTCAACCTTTGGTGTAGACACTTTCTCAGTAGTTCTCTCCACAGCTAAAGTATTCTCACTAGCAAACAGCCTGCTAGAGCCAAATGAATTGGTTCCATCCTCATCCTCAAGCTCGTCCTCCTGAGCCATATCTGCCCAAGACATCTTCACTTTCTGGCTTCCAGCTGACCTAGGCGAGCTTATTATTTCACTTGTTGATCCCTCAGCAGAAGCTTGAGCTATTGCATCTCTCAAGTTTTCACTCAAGATTGCTTTCATTGAAACCCCATTATCCCGATCCAGAGACCTATCCACCCCATTGTTCCAACTCCCCAGCGAATGTGTATCTGATGTATCATTTACATCTGAGATAAAATTCAAGCATGTATCTTCCTTCCAACTCCCCAGTGAGTTTGTATCTGCTGTATCCTTCAAATTCGCACCTTCCTTCCAACTCCCCAGTGAGTTTGTATCTGCTGTATCCTTCAAATTCACACCTTCCTTCCAATTCCCCAGTGAATTTGCATCTACAGTACCATTGAAATTCAAACCTTCCTTCCAACTCCCGAGAGAATTTTTTTCTGCCGTATCATTAAAAATCGCATCGTCCACCCAGCTTCCACCAGAATGCGAATCAAGGTTATCTTTATTTCTACTGTGTCCATTCAAGAACGTATTTTCAGGAGTGGAAACATCAAATCTAGAGCGCTGCTTCAAGTGATATTCACCTGGACGAGCTTCTGCAAAACATACCATAGACTAACCGATCAGAAAATCGTATGCTGCAATTCAAATGGTTTCAAGAAAACCTAAGTTACTGCAAAACCAGAATACACCACACAAAAAAACATCAATATACAGAGTGTATAATAATTCTTCATGAATACACCCCAGGCATTATGTAGGCAGATAGTACCGGGATCGATGGATAGGATTCGATCGGCGAGAGCCTGCGTACAGGAGTGACAAAGGTCTCGGGAGAGAAAGGGCAACCAAATGGAGAGGAACTCGGCTGCGATCCGGAGCTCGTCCTGGCAAAACTCGAGGAGGAATGAATCATCCATGAAAGTTCTCTGATGGTAAGCCATTGCGAACTGTCATCCCAGGTGCGCTAGTCTTTTTTGTTTTGTTTTTTCAATTTATGGGTATGGAATCCTGCACTTGATCATGAATTTACTTTTAATGTTGATGAAAGCAATAAAGTTATGGCAAATAGGGCTGGGAGTGGCGGAGTCATTCATAATAATAGTGAAAAATGGCTTAGTGGTTTTTCCTACAAAACTAGACCAAATAACTTCGAGGAAATCGAGGCTAAAGACATTGAGAAAGGTATCCAATGGGCACGGGGTAAAGGAGTGAGGGATCTTAAAATGCAGTCTGACGCTAGAGAAGTTGTCAATTAGATTACAAGATCGAAAAGTTTGAGGAGACCCATCAGCGATATCATTATAACAATAAGGAGTTGGGCAGACAGATTTCATAAAATCAGCTTTAGAGCCATCTTGCGTGAACAAAATAAGGTTGCGGATCGTCTTGCTAACCTTGGGGCTTTTCAAGACATTTCATGGAGAACGTTTGAGGTCCCTACTGCAGATTTGGAAAACTTGAGTGCTGGCGATATAATGAGGGTCACTACTACGCGACACGCTACCACCACTTCACGAGGTTACTAGCTTGGGGTCTCCCCCTCCATTGTTGATCAAAAAAGAACCAAAATAATAGGAAAAATTCACATAAATATATATTTGGGATTTTAAGATATTGTTCCAAATGTAATTAATTATTTCTCTGCTTAATACTAATTGATTCTTAAATCCACGTGTAGTTGATTTTTCATTTTTACTAAATGTTTTGATTGATTTAAAAGTGTGTTTATTGTGTTTTTAAAATGATTTTATAATACAAAGTAGTTTAAACTTTCTTTACACCAAATGTAACACCCCAACTCGAATAACCCAATTACATAGATTATTTGAGCCGAAGTAGTTACCATGATGGTAAATACGCATAACAATTTGAGGAATAATTTAAAACCAATTTAAACTTTAATATAAATGATAATTTTAAATTTTAAATTCAGAGTATTGCTGAAACAATGCGGAAGCTTAAATATAAAACATAATCAAATTGTTTACATTTTTCTGGGTTCTCGCCCGAAAAGGTATTTATTTAATTAAAACATCATAAATGTGGTCCACCAGTCCGTACATCTCGTCACTCTCATTGACCTCCGGGATGGGCTCCATGATCAGTATTGTTACCTGCGTGTAGCAAGTAAAACAAACTACACGCTCAGCGTCAGCTGAGGAATACGCTAATACAACAATTCCAAGTTGAATAGCAAGTAGACATATAATTATCATGATATGACATAATATAGCATGTATGCTCAAATGATGATTGTGATACGTAATAAATGTCATACATAGTCATAATGATTGCATTTGCTTGATGATGAATTCATGCTGTATGATTCTAGGTCACAAGGACAAGCCTTGAACTATGAGATTCGCCCATTTTGTA